ATATTAGTATTAAGATAAGAAAAGAGAATTAATACCAATGTAATGAATATGACTGTAATTTTTAATTACTACTGCACTAGATATTTGTACACAGATGATACACGGTTTAATGGAAGATGAACTGTTTGTATTAAAATAAAATAAACATTTTTTTTAAAAAAAAGCATTGGGTCTAAATTATATGCTAACTGCATGCTGCTTTGTTCCAGTTTTATTTTCTCCTTCCATATTTTTTAATGTTGCGTATTTAAAACAGAATGCAGATGGAAAGTATATATTTCAAATAACGGATACCATCTCCCATCTGAAGTCAAGCTGACCATATCAGTAACTGGCTAAACCAATTTTTCAGAATTTTCATGGAAAGAAATTGAGTATTTCTATCTTTTCAAGCTTCACCCATAACTCCTAAAATATATATTGTAACGTCTCTCTTTCAGTCAAATAGGAAACTAACAGGACGATGAATGACTGATTTATGTTCCTTATGTACCATTTTTCCAAGAGGCATCACGTAGTAACATTCTTCCTTCTTATCTCAGTGACTTTTAATATAAGCTCTACTAACCAAGCAAGGGTCCATCTGCTCCAACATTCAGCATCCCAATAGATGCATTCAAATAACTATGGTAGTATTTAAGGCAGGCCATCTGTAATTCTGGAGAGAATAATCACGAACAGTAACCACTGAAGGCCACTAGCTTTCTATGAACAGGATAAGAAGATGAATTTTCATAGGAGCCCATTGGCCATTCAGTAAGTGTCATTGGCTCAGCAGACTTTCCAACTTATCTTTTCCTAATACTTATCTAACATTCCAGCATCTATGCCATCTGGGTCTCCTCATTAACAAGATCATAGAATTTCTGCTTTGAACCATGTAAAAATTTGCTTCTTGGGAGAAGTTTAATAGGGAGATGGGCTGAGATGTCACCTAGATCCGTGATGGTGAACCTGTGGCACAAGTGCCACAGGTGGCACGCAGAGCCCTCTCTACGGGCACGCAAGCCATCACAGCTCAGCTCTGCCACGCATGCTCATGCGCTTCCCACCAGCCAGCTGGTTTTTGGATCTCTGATGCACATGCACAGGAGGCGCATGGGGGAGACGCACACGCATGCATGAGTGGTCATACGTGCATGCACGGGGGTCACGCTTGCATGTGTGGGGAGCAGGGGGCGTGGGGGGCAGGGTGCATGCTAGGGGTCTGGGTGGTTAAACGCATGGTGCCAAAAAGGTTAGCCATCACTGACCTAGATGGAAATATGCTCTGCCTCTGAAGCAGCTGATGTTGTGAAGCAGTTCTTGAACCAGGTGATGGACTCAATGAGAGATTCTTAAGTGAATGGCAGAGGCTATCCAGATGTGTTTTTAAAATCTCCTGCTAATGTGCTCTAAGAGCCGAGGTGGCGGAGTGGTTAGAGTGCAGTACTGCAGCTACTTCAGCTGACTACTAGTTCAGCAGATCAGCGGATCAAATCTCACCGGCTCAAGGTTGACTCAGCCTTCCATCCTTCCGAGGTGGGTAAAATGAGGACCCAGATTGTTGGGGGCAATATGCTATTTAGTATACTGTCTTTGGTGTAAGCCGCCCAGAGTCCTCGGAGAGTGGGCAGCATAGAAATACAAATAATAAATAAATAAATAAATAAATAAATAAATAAATAAATAAATAAATAAATAAATAAATATCTCAGGGCTGTCAAACTCGCGGCCCATGGGCCGGATGTGTGGAGAAGCTTGGCGAATTACTTTCATAACTTACGGAAGAAAACTGCATGGGTGTATCATCCAGAGCCAAGTTCAATTCTATCTAGCAGCCTGATAAGGTAGATCATATCAGGCGGGATAACTAAAACTATACTTTATCAAGGTAAGCCAAAGTAGCAGAAGCTTGCAAGTGTGATTGTGCTTTACTTCCCCCCGACACACCAATACCCCAATGAGTCAGGGAGGAACCACACTGAGCCACTTGCTAACACTGTCTCCTTTCACAGGGAATGTGTTTGCGTGTGTGCTTGTGTGAGAGCAGGGATGGTATTCACTTACCTTCACTACATATATAATATGTAGATATAATATATGTAGATATATAATGTGAGTGCACACACCACCTCCGCGAATGCGCAGAGCCTTCCGCACATGTACAGAGCATCAAAAATGGGATGTGATGACGCCCAGGTGGGTGGGCGGAGCCTCCCGCAGCAGCCCCTACCAATTCGCCCGAACTGGATAGAACTGGCTAAATACCACCACTGTGTGAGAGAGATTTTTTTATTTGTTTGGAAGTGGAGAGAAAAGGTTTGCACCAGTAACAGCCAAACAAAAGGTTTGATCCAGAATGCAGCCGCGCGAGCTGTCGTGGGTGCACCTAGGTACACCCACATTACACCAATTCTCCGTGAGCTGCACTGGCTCCCTATTGGTCTCCGTTCACAATTCAAGGTGTTGATTATTACCTTTAAATCCCTACATGGCTCAGGGCCAGGGTATCTTCGAGACCACCTTCTACCGCATAACTCCCAACGACTGGTAAGATCCCACAGAGTTGGTCTCCTCCGGGTCCTGTCAGCTAAACAATGCCGGCTGGCGGGCCCATGAGGGAGGGCCTTCTCTGTGGCTGCCCCAGCTCTCTGGAATCAGTTACCTCCTGAGGTCCGGACCATCCCCACCCTATTGGCCTTCCGAAAAGCGGTGAAGACCTGGGTTTTCCGACAGGCCTGGGGCCGTTGATCTCGCTCTTGCGATCCGGCGAGTTCCCGCCATGAATGGTGTGAATGAGTTTTAATGTTTTTAATGTTTTTAATTTTTAAATGTTTTTTATAATAATTTTAAATGCATTGTGAGCCGCCCTGAGTCTTCGGAGAGGGGCGGCATACAAATTGAATTAATAAATAAATAATAAATAAATAGCTGGATTCCAATAAGTTCAATGCACACACATACACCTCCAAAAAAGTATTGTAGAAGTAAATGGTTAAAATCTCTCCTTTTCTCCCTCTACTGTCATTACATCATTGCCATATTCCTCAATCATTGTGTCAGAAGAATAATTTGGGGTTCCAACTCGAGCCAGGGCTGCACAAGAATAAATAAAAATGGGATCCAGACAGCTGTGAGGAAAGAAGAAACATTTATTCCTAAAAACAAAACAGTTTGACTATATGGGCAGGCTGCAGAGAAATGGGGTACAACGGTAGATTTTTATAGGGGAAGCTTGTCCAGGGTGAAATGTCTATGTGCTGAATGTACAACTTGAGGTGTGTTTGTGTATGTTTGTGCATGTGTGTGTGACGATATGTTTATTCTTGTGAGCGTGTAATTCCTCTGGAAGACCTAATTTAATTAACTCTGTGTTTGCAGGCCTTATCCTTTGATATGTAGATTAGGTCTGGGTAACTTATTTAAGGGTTGGAGAAAGTTGCTAATTTTAGTTGATTAACATAGTTTCAGCTTGACTGTCAGTTATCTAGTGGAGACACTGATTCTCAAACTATTGTGGACTCTGTTGATATTTTAAGGGAAGATGGAAACAGTATAAAGAATAAAATATATTTGGATATAAAACTTCTCACAACTGAAAAAAAAAATAGGGGGAGAAATGCAGTAGGCCTAGAAGGGTTGCCTTCCCCTGATCTAATCTAAGCAGGGAAGCATGCCGTCTGGGCCTCCTCTCTGTTTACTAGAAGAACCTGTGGCTCAAAGCATGTTTGATCAATGTGTTGGCTGATGTTCTTGGACAAAAAAAAAAACTTTGCAACGATTATTCACATTCTGGTAACCACCTGCTTGGGTCGATGATCTGTAATATATCTGGGACTGCTTTTGAACATTGTCCAAAAGTTCCAGTTAATCAAAACCGGGACAGCTAAGCTGCTGCGTGGGATCTGCTGCCCATCCAAACACATTAGGCTTGATCTTGTCCATCTGCACTAGCTCTTGTCTCTTTCCAGGTCCAAATCAAGCTATTGATACTCACTTTTGAAGCACTGATTGGTTTGGGCAGAGATCCTGGAGGAACATCCTCTTTGCCATAGGTACCCCTACCTAAAGGTTCTCAAAGTTCTCGTCTCCATCTGCATCTCCAATGTATCCTAAAACGTTTAGCTTTGGGAGAGGAAAAAAGAGGCGACGTAAAAGAAGACTATGCATTACACAGACATGCATGCGAAGCTCTCTGTTGGGAGGAAAACCACTTTAGGGAGTAAGAATCAACATCAGAGATGCCAGAGGAACCAACAAAAAAAAAAAGTCAAGATGGCAGCTTTGATCACATTAAATTGCAGACACAGTAACCTTTAAAAAAAAAAAAGATCACCTCTAAGGCTGATCTTGAGACAAACTGTCAGCAGGACGAGAGCGAAGCAATCTGTTGCTTCTAGCAGTCTTCACCTCTTTTCACTCCTCCTGTCCCAGCTCTATGTCCTCCGATTTGATTATATCCACCATACTATTGCTATAGGTAAGCTCAAAGGCAGGAAGCCTCGCTGTGGCACACCCACTGCCGGGCAACATCAGTGCCTCCACTAGATAATTGACATTCAAGCTGAAACTATGTTAATCAACTAAAATTAGCAACTTCCTCAAACCCTTAAATAAATTACCCAGACCTAATCCACATATCAAAGGATAAGGCCCGCAAACACAAAGTTAATTAAATTAGGTCTCCCAGAGGAACTGCATGTTTCTGGACAAGTGGGGATCTCAGGGTCTGAAGAAGCTTTTTGGCCTAAGCCTCTGGGCAGAAGTCCATAAGGACGTCTATGGTTTGAGATACTATTTCTGTACCCATACAGCAGAAACAAAAGTAGAACTGACTGGCAGTGCTCTAAGACAGCTTCCTCCCCTCCCTCCCTTCCGCCTCCATCTCTGCTCAGCCAGACTAGCCGGCTGCTCCACTCCCTCCTAGGTCTGTCTCAGCCAAGTGCACACCTACCACTGCTCCTCCTCTTCCTCCTCCTCCTCCTCCCCCCTCCTTTTGCAAGAGCTTGAATCCAGCAGCTTGCTCAGTCTCTTTCCCATTTCTCCCCCTGGGCTTTTCTCTTTCTTTTCTCTACAACAGCCTTGCAGAGAGGTGGTGGAGGAGGAGGAGGAGGAAGAGGAAGAGGACCTTCAGACATCATCTACTGAGGAGAATCAGCAGGGACCTCTTGCAAAGCTGGCGAATACAGGACAGCAATTTCTGCAGCCAAAGCATCAAGGTAAGTTTACACCAGATTGCATCTGCAAGAAGATGGCAAGTAGTGAGCTGGACTGGACTGCCCTAGCCTGATCTAGCAAGAGGAAGGAGAATTGCATTTCCTTGAGCTAGCTAGGTCATTACATTGCTTAGTTCTACCAGTCTTAGGAGCCAGATGGATGGAAAGTTGCTACTTGCTAGGAAAGGGTGAAACAGGGGATTAGAGTCCATAGAGGGGAATGATGCAGCCCAAAACCCTTTAGAAATCCTTCTAGATCTCACTGTCTGTCAATCCAGATAGAGAAATAGAATCATTCTATCTGAAGGAAACTCAGAGGCTATCTAGCCCAACTCTTCTGTTAATGCAGGGAACCCATTGCAGCATCATAGCTAATAAAATTAACCACAGGAAGGAAGGAAGGAAGGAAGGAAGGGAGGGAGGGAGGGAGGGAGGGAGGGAGGGAGGAAGGAAGGAAGGAAGGAAGGAAGGAAGGAAGGAAGGAAGGAAGGAAAGGAGGGAGGGAGGAAGGCACTAGTAAAATGGAATAGAATATATCTCGGAGTTGGTTCAATGCCTCTTGTATTTAAATGTACCCATTTATTTCCACCATGCCCACCATATTGGCATCTGTTTACATCCTTGGGCAATTGCTAAATGCCCAACAGATATAATTGAACATTCACTAATCCCTTAATGATGACTCTCTATCCTGAATTTTGGAGAGTGCCTTATAGTTCTGTCCTTTAGCTTTACAATTCTAGGTGCTCTTGTTTCTTACACCTAAGTGATTTAACAGAAGAGGAGCAGAAGTTGAACATTTTGGTGGAAAGAAGACAGATTTGCCTTTGACTTCTCTTTTAGAAGCTTCATTGTAGACCAGCAAATCTTTCTTTACCTACACACCAAGGGAGAAACTTTACTCAATTAGAAAGATACAGAATTGCCAGGGTTATGACAGCTGTGGGAAAACATGTGGGTCAAATGGAATCAATCATTGCCAATAGCTATATTGATTCATTCTGTGGCACTGCTGTTTTGCTAACCCTGTTAAAAAAAAACAAGGAACAATTTCCTGCAGCCAACGGCCCAGGGTCGGTGAGGTTTCTGCTATTGTAAGCACGAATTTTATTGTATTTTTTTTTAACCCCGTTGTCCTTGGTCTCCTCGTAGCTGGCAGGAGAAGATGAACAAAAGTGATCCGGCCTGGGAGAGCAATGCCAAGGACCCAGATGAGAAGGAGATATCGCCGTGCATGGTCAGCATAGGGGCCCTCCTCTACTACTGCATCCTGCTGTGTGTGGGTTTGCCTGGTAAGACAAAAATCAAGAAATCCGACAGCTCCACAGGTGTGTCAGTGAGATGTGTTCATGCGTACTTCCAATAGATAGGAGGAGAAGCAGCAGCAGCAGCAACAACAATTCATAGTTGAGAGATTTTATGGTTATTTGTTTAAGTGTCTGGGGTAGTACTGCCAAGCTGACACATAGGAAAATATATATATATATATATGCAAAAGGGCAGAATAAAAACTCCATCATATCAACTCAAGCGAATACAGTCCAGAAATCAAATCACATTTTAAAAGCCTGCAGAAGGAGGGACTCAAACATTTTTTGCGGGAAAGACTGCTAAGGAAAAAAATGGATCCCACCGAGAAGGATCTATCTCTAGTGGCTATCAGGAGAAAACTGTTGGAAATAGGAGCCAAAGGCCATCAGAGAGAATAGGAGATGGAAATGGAAGTCTTGGCCTTGATATATCCTACAGAGGTGAAATACAAACAAACCAGGGAGCTGCAAAAGGGTGACAAACCAGAGTAAACAGCTGCTGCAAAGCAAGAAAAATAAAATATATCCAGCCAAATTTGAGAAGGCATATTTTCAGGCAAGGATTATAACTGGAAGGATTTTAACTGAGCCCTTCATTTTAAAATCAGAAGGGTTTAATGTTTTTCTTTACATGTAACTGCAGTGGGATTCACTGATTATTACATAGCGCTTATCTCTTACCAACATTCACGTGTATATTAGTAAGTGACAAATAGAAAATGTTTGTCCTTAGAATGGGAAAGATGTTAAACTATGCCCCCCCCCAAAAAAGGACTGCAGAACTCCCATAGAATTGATATATAAAGGAATACTGTGAACGAAGTATTATTACAGTAAGGACTGGGGGCATTTTTCTAGGAATGTTCAAGATGCAGTATATAGGAATTATATTAAAATCCCTTCATAAAGTTTATATTACTAAACTTGTTTTATTTTGTGGTTAGATTTATATGGTGCTTTTTGCTCAAGAGCCCAAAGCAATGCAGGCACTCCCCAGGTTATGAGCAAGTTCCGTTCCTCTGTTTAATTCGAATTTGTATTTAAGTCAGAACTCGTATTTACAAATGGACTGCCTATTACTAAAACTGGCAGACAACGTTCTCCTTCTTCAAGCCGGCCAACGGCTGAAGCCACACAATATTTCCATGAACCATTGAAAAAACACTATTTGTTAAATGTGCAGAGTTTTAGTGGTTCATGAAAACATTGCTTGGCTTCAGCAGTTCTTTAGCTCATGGAAGAATCGTCAGCCTGTTCATAAGTTATTAGTTGTTCCGTTGTTAGTCAGTTGTTCTTAACCTGGAGACTGCCAGTGTTTAGTGCTTTGGACCTCTTACAGCATTTGCCTCCCTAAAACAACCAGCCTGCCATCAGCCTAAACTCACCTAGGGAGCTGTGTTCAGTCTAGATTCTAGATCTCTGTGGGATTTGGTCCGACATTTTAATTACTATCCCACAATTGTCACAACTTCTGTTAACTTCTTTGTGTATTTTCATAAAAATCCTTCCAACAGATTTTTTTTTCCACTTCCCCTGTGTTCATCAACATTAATAAAAACAAAATCATAAAAAGTTAAAGTACATACCTTGGAGGCTACCCAGTCATTCCAATAGCCTATTTAGTGCAAAAGATCAGTGTGTTCTCCGATGGTTTGTTTGTTTTTTAGCAAAAGGAAATCGTTTCTTATCCCAAAATTTTAATGCATGGGCAGGATTTAAAAAAAAAAAAAAAGAAAACGTGACTATAGGAAGGTGAGAGGAAAAGTTTATTAGGTACAATTTTATTCATATGTGCCCATCATAGTGTTAATTTCAAGATGAGCACCAGAGGGAGCTATCATCTCACAAAGATGTGGAGAACATTGATGGGCAGTTTTATGAGTCCCTACATCTACAATGCCAGCGATACTGAAAATGATTTGTTTTCACAAAGTCCTGGTATTACTTTAGCAGTTCATGGGAATTAGCCTCCCCTGTTTTGAAATGTCAATGTGGTATACCCTATAGTACCATTCCAGACAATTGGCTGTCCAATCTCTTCTTAAAACCTCCAGTGTTGGAACAACCAAGGCTTCGGGAGGCAAGTCATTCCATTAATCATTGCTCCAATAATGGATGTTTTTAAGATGAGATTGGACAACCATTTGTCTGAAATGGTATAGGGCCGTGATGGCGAACATATGGCATGTGTGCCACAGGTGGCATGCGGAGCCATCTCTGCGGGCACGCGAGCCGACACTCAGGTCAGCTTCACAGCGCATGCCCACATGTCTCCTGCCAGCCAGCTGATTTTCAGGTCTCTGCTGGGAGACACGCACCCATGCGTGGGGGGGGGTCATGCACACATGCACAGGAGTGGGGGTTGCACACACATGCGTGGGGGGGTGGGAGAGTGCAGCGCTCCCACCGTCCCCCATTTTTGGTTCCAGGAAGCTTCAGGAAGGCCTGCTGGCACAAAAATGGGGGTCACATGCACATGTGTGGGGACGGGGGAGTATGGGGGGGGTCGCACCAGTGGTGGGTTGCCCCCGGTTTGGACCGGTTCACAAGAACCGGTAGTAAAACTGGCGGGAGACTCCGCCCACTGACCCAGACATCATCATAGGTGATCTGCACATGCGCAGAAGCTTCTGCGCATGTACAGAAGAGCACGCGCAAGCACAAGTGAAGTGAGGGCACACGCACAGGCACAATGCGAACCGGTAGTAAGGGTAAGTAGAACCCACTCCTGGGTCACATGCGCAGGGGTGGGAGGTGGGCTGAGGGCCACGTGCGCATGCGTGGGGGCGGTGCCTGAGGGGGGCATTGCATTATGGGTGTCGGCACCCGAGGAAAAAAAGGTTCGCCATCACTTGTATAGGGTCTCCTGCCTGATTAGGGAGTAGGACTAGAAGACCTTCAAGGTCCCTTCCAACTCTGTTATTCTATTATTCTTATGTAAGAACATGCTTGAGAGACCAAAGGGGAAAAGCTAGGGATTGGTCAGATAAGAGGCAGTTTAGCTCACCGAAGAAATGGGACCAGGGCAAACATCTCCGAAAGGAACCCACTTCCCCACCCCAAGTTTCTTAGATTGTAAAGGTAAGGAGACGATCTCTGAAAGAAACCCACTCCCCCATCCCAAATTTCTTGGATTGTAAAGGTAAGGAGAGAGAGAGAGAGAGAAAGATGTACTTTCAGACTTGCAACAATATAGTTCTATTACTCATGGTTGCTTCTTCTTCTCTGGGTTACTTCTAAGGGGTGACACTGTCCTACTTCCTATTTCATTTGTATAATTGGGTCCCAAATACAATTACTGTATATCTAGTCCTTCTTCTTCCAAAGTCCTCTGGCTGACATCCATCTCTGTTTGTTATCTTTCCCAGCCTTATTTTACCTTGACAATAGCCCCGTCAAGGACAAATAAGCTAAAGGGAGGCCATTTGGGTCGATTTTGTAGAAATCAAATATTAGTCACAGCTATGCATGCAAATACTAATTCATCCTAAAGTACTTTTAAACTCCTTATCTACAGATACCTTTTTGTTATCTTTTCTTCCAGTTAACATTTTAACTGCCGCTGCACTTTCCCGTCTTGCTGCTCGCACCCAGAAATCCTCGTACTGCTACCTCTTGGCCCTCACCGCTTCTGACATCCTGACTCAAGTCTTTGTGGTCTTTGCTGGCTTCATTGTGCAGGCAGCCATCTTGGCCCGCGAAGTGCCAGGTGCCTTTGCCCATGCAATCAACATCTTACAGTTCACAGCCAATCACGCCTCCATCTGGGTGACAGTACTGTTGACTATGGACCGTTACGTGGCCCTTTGCCATCCCCTGCAGTATCGGGCTGTCTCCTACCCAGAACGCACCCAGAAGATAATTGCTGCCATGTTTGCAGTCTCACTGGCTACTGGAGTTCCTTTCTACTGGTGGCTAGATGTTTGGCATGATGTCTACCCGCCCAGCACTTTGGACAAAGTCCTGAAGTGGCTTCATTGCTTCATCATCTACTTCATTCCCTGCACTGTCTTTCTGATGACAAACTCTGTTATCATCTGCAAGCTCAAGCGATCAGGAAATCCCAACCGCCGCCTCAGCAGAACCACAGCCATTTTGCTGGCCGTCACCACTGTCTTCATTGTCCTCTGGGCTCCACGGACATTTGTCATGATCTACCACCTTTATGTGGCATCAGTTAATCAGGACTGGCGAGTACACCTGGCCTTGGATGTTGCCAACATGGTAGCCATGCTCAATACCTCCATCAACTTCTTCCTTTATTGCTTTGTCAGCAAGACCTTCCGGCGTACTGTCCGTGAAGTGCTAGTCTCTTACAGATTCCAGTGTGCCCAACCATCAAGGAAGGATACTGCTCTGGAACTGACTCTGAAACCCCTGGGGGTCTGGGCTGGGACTTCAGTTTAGGGAGATTATCATCCTTCTGCAACCAGCTCCCGCTTTTGCTGAATGTAGATTCCGTGGACCTTTTGGTGCACTAAAATGATGGAGAATAAGGATGTCCTTCGTGGCCCTAAATTCCTTCAGAAAAAAAGGAGAGGAGGTAGTGAAGTAGCTTCATTCAGAGATGCTTTGTTTTCATTCTTTATTCTATTTTTAAGTAATTAATTGTTTGGGGAAGGGAGGAAGGAGGGAAGCCTTCATCCTCCTTTTGTTTTATGGTTTTACAACTCTCATCCTTGTTCAGTGAGGTGAGCCATCCCTCTGTTGTGCCCTGCCAGTGGCCAACGGAGCTGGCAACAGATTCGGACAGTGAGGAGGTTCAGGAGGAACATGAGCCAGTCCTGGAGTCTGGGGAAGGCTCTAATGAGGGCTCTGCATCAGAGACAGAGAGGGGGCCAGGGCCGTATGCCAGTTATCAGCTGCCTTCGGAGTCAGACATCAGTGAGGCAGATGAACAGCTGGAGTCTATTCCCAATGTGCACATGCACAGAGTTGCCAGACAAAGGGAACAGCTAAAGAACAAGGGTCAACTCAGGAGTAAGAGCACAGGTGTATGATGAATGGCCCCTCCCAGAGGGAATAAAAGAGGAGCGAAAGGGGAGTGGAGTTTGCAGGAGACAATTAGTTCGCTTAATTGGTTCGTGACTTTCCGTGACTCCTTGCCAGGTTTGGAAGATATCGGCCTGGCAACTCCCCAAGCCAGATAAGGTCTGTTACTGTAAATTCACCCTTGAAAGACTTTGCTGGATGTGAATGAGAAGAATTCACAGTCACTTAATCAAAAGTGGTTTTTGTTGGGACAAGGAGTCTGCTTCCTGGTTTGGGGAAGCCTAGGTCACAACACCCTCAAGGGCAAGGACAGACCGTCACTGCCATTTTGAGATGTGTTCCACCTCAGTGGAATGTCTTTAGTATGTGGCAGGAAGATAAATGTCTGGTTTATCCCCAGCTGTTATTCACAATATCTGTTCTGATTCTGATTCTTCCATAGCCTGGGTAGTGTATACAGTATTTAAAGAAAGCAAGAAGGGATGTTTGTGTGCATTGATTTCCCTATTACCGAAGGCAAAATACAAGGAGATCTTGAAGGAGCCAAGCCCTAGAAGTGAAAGAGAGAAAAGTAGTACTGTAATATCCATGTAATGACATGGATGTGTGTTTAGAAGGGTGGAACTGGCAGAATTGTTTCAAGCAAGCAATCCCTTTGTGTGGTAAATGTCTCTGAGCCAGATAATCCATTCCACACTTTCAAAATTCCAACATTCTTCACTCCTCACTCCTCACCCCTAACTTTCCACTCCCATAAATATTTGCCTTTAGGTGGGTTTCTCTGAGTTTTTTCTCTTTCCTCCTTTGAAAAGCTTCTTTCACACCCTTTTGGAGGGCCCGTCCAATCTGGCTGCTTCCCAAATAGCTCCAAGCACCACTGCCTGGGAGGAAAGCCAGCTACATCCCGCCAAGCATCAACTCATCCTTTCTCCCAGAGGCACAGACAGAGGCATATAGTTCAGCTTCAGACACTGGAGGGATGTAGGCCTGTTGGGACATTCGCATGGTCTTATATCCATGTACAAATTGGGAGGTCTGTGCAGGGTCTGTGTGAAGGTACCTATAACGGTTTATAAGCCACGGTTTGTGGTTTAATAATTTAATTTAAATGTATTCAATAAACCAAGTTTCTGTTTGATTTAGCTCAATTTGTGTGAAATGAATCAGACTCACTGAGTCTGTATACTATGTCAAACTGTCGACAAGGATCAGTGTTATGAATTCCACAAGTAAATAGAGAATGCTTACATTTGTTTTGTATAGATAAGATAATTTACAAGTCTGCTTAACTTTTGTTGTTACTGACTTACTATTAATGAAGGTTGTTGTCATACTTGAAATGCTCTATTCACTTGAGAAAGGATAATGAATAATTGGAGAAGTTGGAGAAAACGGCAACCAAAAGGCTCAAAGAAAAAGAAGTACAATTTAACTTTATTTAACTTGTGGGGGGGGAATCACCCACCATCAACAAAGAAGGTTTGAACCTTTTTGATTAAAATTAACACATATTTAAAGTAATTTGAGGAATTCAAAAGCAGGGCTATTTCTCTCCATTTTGTGTGACAGAATTTTTGGATCAGTAGTCTGTTCAGACAATTTCTTTTTTGTTCCAGGAGTATTTTTAATCAATGGTAAGGATGCTAATTGTTAGGGACATTATAGTATTTAAGGTACCAGGCTAGAAACCAGGAGATGGTGAATTATAGACCCACTTTAGGCATGAAAGCTGGCTGGATGACTTTGGGGCAGTCGCTCTCTCTCAGCCCAATCCACCTCATAGGGTTGTTGAGGGAAGAAGGAATATGAGGCATGTTCACTATCTTGAGTTATTCATAAAAATAATAAAGACAGAATAAAAACATCTAAAATATGTATAGTATGACAGTGGTAAAATATTGATAAAGTATCACGTGCGATATTTTTCAACATTATCAGCTTGGATGAGAAGATAGAGAATGCTTTCCAATCTTTTATACAAGATAAAAATGAGTGAAATGTTTAAACTTTTAGAAAGCACATATAACCATGATGGCGAACCTATGGCACGCGTAGCCATATCAGTGGGCACGCGAGCTCAGCTCCGGTGCACATGCATGAGCCGGCTAGCTGATTTTCAGGCCTTCTGGGCCCACCAGAAGTAGGGAAACAGGCTGTTTCCTGCCTCTGGAGGGCCTCGGGGGTGGGGATGGGGAAGGCCCATTTTCTCTCTCACCTGGCTCCAGGGCCTCTCTAGGAGTCTGGGGAGGGTGAACTGCCTTCCCCAACCCCCAGGAGGTCCTCCAGAGGCCGAAAATGGCCCATTTGACAACATGCGGTCTCACTGGAAGTTGGCAAAAGGGTCGTTTCTGGCATTTGGAGGACCTCCGGGGGGTGGGGAAGGCCATTTTTGCCCTCCCCAGACTCCTAGAGAGGCCCTGGAGGCTGGGACAAGAAAAAATAGGCCTTCCGGTCCCACCGGAAGTTGTCAAATGGGCCATTTTCAGCCTCAGGAGGACCTTCGGGGGGAGGCTGTTTTCGCCCTCCCCAGACTCCTAGAGAGGCCCTGGAGCCAGGTGAGAGAGAAAAACAGGCCTACCGGGCCATTACGTGCCAGGAGCAGAGGGAGTGGAGGAGGTCACATCTTCATGCGCGGCGGCGGGGTGCATAGAATTATGAGTGTGGGCACGCATGTGTGTGACCCCCCCCAGCACACAATGGCAAAAAGGTTAGCCATCACTGACATATAAGATCTAAAATGATCTTAAGTTAGAGAAGCTTAAAATAGTGCCTGTTAATTTAAAAAATGCAAAGTTATTATCTTATGAAACAAATCAAGTGTACAGGGGGCAGGGGATAACTGGTTTGGAAAGTGTATGTGCAGTGGTGGGCTGCAACCGGTTTAACAACTGGTTCTGTAAGTGCGCACCTTGCACGCACGCACGCACGCCCAATGTGCTTGCGCGCAGCGTTTAAAATACAGCAATTTGAAGCTCAGCTGCTTACCTTCTAAGGCAGCCCCGGTAAGTAGAACAGGATCAGCTGAGCCAGAAAGAAGGAAACATAGGACAGGATAGGGCAGGGGTGGGTGGGCAGGGCCAGCTGATCGTCGGAACTACCGGTTTGCTCGAACCGGTCTGAACTGGCAGTAGCCCTGCACTGTGTATGTGTGAAACTATCTAGGATTTATAGTTCCCAAATGGATATGGAACAGCAGTGAGATCTGACTATATAGCAATAGAAGTATCATTCCCAAGGCATAAGGAGTTACATCTTCACTGAATTCTATAATTATTCAGTCCCATCATGTATTGTGTCATCCTAGGCTTTAATAAGGTTTCAGAAAAACCTTCAAATCTTGTGCAAATAAAAAGGACAACAGTGGTAGAGAAGAGTTTCAAAGTTGTTAAGATATGTTTAATCCATAAGCCATGACAATTAATGAAGGTTATTGTGGCCTTCTTCAAGTACCTGTATGAATCCCTTGTCAAACTTGCAAAGACAATATCGAAATAGCAAAGACAATTTAACACAGGCAAATCAAGGAAATATTTTTACACTCTGACCAACATCAAATATCGTGAGAAAAGACAGAGACTGTGCTACATAATATAGGTTTGAGCAAATGGGGCAAGGATGGTCATAACCTCTTCAAATTGAATTTGACTCCAGGTGTTTTCTATAAACTGTTGTTTTCTCGTCTCTACAGTCCAAAACTTCTGGACTGTCCCAGTTAGTCTAGTCAATGCTATAGCTCCTTGCCTTTCTTTATGGCCAAGGAAGAAGCTATATTTTTAGCTAGTTTCTGACCTGCACAACTAGGATGAAACAAGAAGGCCCACCTTTGTTGTGGCCCACCAGCAGCCAGTGGAGCTGGTGGCAGACTCAGACAGTGAGGAGGTTGGGGAGGAACGTGGGCCAGTCCTGGAGTCTGGGGAAGTGCTCTGCATCGGATGAGTGCTCTGCATCAGAGGCAGAGATGGGGCCAGGACTGTCTGACAGTTACCAGCTGCCTTCAGAGTCGGACATCAGTGCGGCAGAAGAACAGCTGGAGCCTTTTCCCAATGTGCGCATGCACAGAGCTGCAGAGAAGGGAACAGCTAAGGAACAAGGGTCAACTCAGGAGTAAAGCCACAGGTGGATGGTGAATGGCCCTCCCATAGGGAATAAAGACAAGTGAAAGGCGAGGGGAGTTTGCAGGAGACAATTAGTTTGCTTAATTGGTTTGTGACTCTCCGTGACTCTTTGCCAGGTTTGGAAGATATCGGCCTGGCAGCTCTCCAAGCCAGATAAGGTCTGTCACTGTAAATTCTCCCTTGAGAGACTTTGCTGGATGTGAATAAGAAGAATTTACAGTAACTTAATACTGTAAGTTAAACCCCTTAAAGGGTTTTTTGTCAGGACAAGGAGTCTTCTTCGTGCTCTTGGGAATCCTAGATCAGAACAGCCTTCCAAACTGGGCACTTCCAGATTCGAGGTGCTGACATGTCCAGTGCAGTTCTAGTCAACATGGACGACACTTGTTGAAAAATGCTACTCTCAGGATAAACCTGTTACAGGAAAGTAACACATATTCCCAAGCAGGATAGGGCAAACTGCAGGTAAAGACTATTTTCATAGTCTTAAATAATATTTTTGTAACGTCCTACATTTGGTAGGGAAGCACAAACAGAAGCTGGCATAGCTCTCTACCAGATGGCTTAGTTTACCGCAAAGAGGAAAATTATTTTTTAGGGAAGTGTATAAAAGGAAGACTCTTCCATGTTCTGAAGTTGTAGAGGCACCCAGCCCCCTCTGTTTCCACTGAGCAATCTGGAAAGGCCCTCTGGTTATAGTGTTATAGTTCTTCTTTCCCTCAAAGCAATAACAATTTCTCACAGTTGACTCTCCAATGTTTAGCCGCCTTTAATTCATTGTTCATGAATAAATAGACACGCTGAACTGGCTTGGGCTAAGCTGGCCAGAGAATGCAGGCACAAATCCTTTGCTTGAATTACCCTATTTTAGCTTCCTTTGACAGATCTATGGCTGCTTGGCAGCCTGCAGCAAAGCGGTAAGCAAGTAGAACTGCATTTCTTCCCTCATCATTTATTGCACGAGCTCAAGCATGACCCTCCCGAGTCTCTTTTGTACGGCCTTCTGGTGATGTCACTCTTCACTAACCACTAACTACCGCTACCTCCACGGCCCATGAAGCTCAGAGAAAGAGGCCATTTCAGTCAAAAGAATAATCCACATTCTCGTTTCAAAGAAGAAAGGAAAACAGTAATTTTGCACTCCTCTCCTGTTGCACCTGCCCGCCATCTGTTTTGACACAGGCCAGCATCAAGGAGGACAAATACCTGGCCAGTCTTGGCTTGTGAGTTACAAAGAAAAATAGTTCCACTGACGGGCAAAAAAAGTGGTTCATTGATTGTTTAATTGAATCAATAAACAGCTTGATCAACTCAAGGCTGAGTTGGAGGGCCATCAAAAAATTTAGGATTAGTTATTTACCACTGGACCCTCTCAGTGCCCCTTGCAGGTCCCAGAAATTGGAAAATCTACCAAGAGAAACTTCTGGGAGGGAGAACTATTTGTTTTCTTCTTTATTGGTGGCCTGATCAGATCAGGCTACTTGTTATTTTTCTTGAGGTATACATGACACAGTGCCCTGTTTGCACAATACATTCACCAAGTCAGTTTAAAATCCTAGGAACTACCTTCACAAAGCGCATGAGGCATCACTGGCTTAGACCTTGGTTCATCTTTTAGGTGTCTTAGCAAGCTAGATGAACCCAGCTTGTTTGATTAATTCAGGTTTCAACAAATAAACCCAGAGTCAGATTTAAGATGTTATGCAAATTCAGCCAGGCTTTGGCTCTCATTCCTGATTTGCAGAGGAGAACAGCAAGATAGGAACAGCCGTTTAAAAATATCTAGAATTCTTGACCCTTGATTGCATATGGTTTAGAAAAGAGCTCCATCCTCCACCATGATAACATAGGGATCACCCAGTTGGAATGAGAGATAGACATCTATGGATATCTAAACCTCTTGGGCCTAAGGCTCTGCTGCACACCCACAATTGTATGCTTTTCTCCCAGCCTTGACCCAGGAAGAAAGTCTGTCATTTTAGATGCTACTGCTCCTTTCCCCCACTTCTCAAGATGGGGTTACTGCTTTCACAGAGATTCACCCCAGTTACTGTCAGGGTAGAAGTTGGCTTTCCTGAGCTGGAAAAAACAGTTGCACATTGTGATGTCTCACTGCCCAACTTTCCTTCTCCTTTTAAATCTGTCCCCCACATTTTCTTTGGGGTCTGGGAACAGAGTTCAGGTCCTTACTCTAATAGTTCACTAGAGGGGAAAAATGATTTCCTGCCCAGGAAAGGGACTGGTGGAAGGAGAGACAGAGTGACCAAGAACCAATCAGCCATTTCTTTAGTTATGCAAACTTCAGAAATCTTAGTAAGCAGGATGTTATAGTTCTTCAAGGTAATTTATGCAATAGAATGCTTATGGATTAGCCAGTCTGGAAATCTTGAGTTATTATTTGATCAGAGAGATACAGTATCTATTCAGGATATGTATAATAATAAAGAGAGATAGAGAACACTTAAAGGATCAAACCAAGTGTAGGGCAAGCACAGGGAAGTGGGAAAATGGGGCCAAGCACTTCCATTAGCCTAGGAACTTTGGCCAGGAGGGAGAGAATATCCATGGGAAAGC